AAAGGTTTATCTATTAGCGAAATCTTGGTAAAATATTGAGTTAACCGTTTTTAAAATTGAATCGAAATCGGATTTGAGAAATAAACTATGATATTATGATAAGTGAATTTAAATTAATTTAATGAAAATAAATACTCTACGAAGTAAATATGGTAAAATTATATAACCTAAATATATAAATAAAATTTATCATATCCATAAGTTGATCCACCCTCCCCCCAACGTGTGTGTTGGATTTGCAAAGACCCGTATTATGTTAGTAAAATCTAAATCTGAATCATTGTATCGCAATATTTTTAAAATCAAGAACAATATTTTATTTTTTCCAATGGTGAGGTTTACATAATCTTTGTAATGTTTTATGTAATCTTTCAGTATTCCAAGGTGCGTTGGGGTTAGGTAAAGAAGGCCTTACAGATATAATGCGAGCCTTTACAAAACCAACACGTTGGGGGGATTTAGCCCTATTGTGATTTAATTTATCATGAATTTGTCTATAAAGTCGTCTTTAGTGCTGTGAAGATCGGATATGCCTTAATTTTTTATATAAAATAAAAAGAAATTTAAAAAACTACTAGAGTAAAATGCGGCTCAAGTATTAATGGAATTAAAATATTCCCCCAACGCTTAAATCTCCTGGTACAAGACTTAATATATTTGTAATTTATATATTTAAATTTAATTTAACTATTTATTAATTATACTTTTTAACACAAAATACAACACCCCCCCCCCCCCACTATTAAATGGTCAAGCTTTCTTAATGTAATAACCTTGTTGATACTAAACATTCACTCATATTCAAACATCTTCTAGAATTAGTATCTCCCCGAATATGTTCACCAGGTCAAGCAATCCGCCCTCCGTTTCTTCCCTTGTCATGGACAACAATTCGGACTCCTCCCTACTGTTGATTTGGATAGGCAGGGGTATATTCTTTACTCCGAATATATTGTCCGTTGTTGTCCATTAAGGGGTTTCTCCAACCTGGCTACTTTAACCTTCTTTAAACCCTGACATCTGGGAAATTGGGTTCTTTGTATCTACGTCGACATCATCTTTGTTGACAATGTAGCTTTATATGTTGCCATTTCCTACAACGAAAACACCTACGTTCATTAGAATACGATACTTGAACGAATGGCAGTAACTTAGCTTCTTGCTCCCGAGGGAGTTATCGATTGGTCCCGACGTGGTACGCTCCATTTGCTGCCTCCCCAAAATTTGGGTTTACTATATTAACAAATATATTTTACGAGAAGAAAATAAATTTCATAGAGGAAATTATTCGATATTTGCTTTATTTGAAGGAAAATAGTATAAGCTTTCAAGTGCAAATATATTATTTGTGGATATCATTATTAAAGTAATCGCGGAATAGAATTTATTCATTAATTATTCAAAATCGTTGTCTGAGGGATGACGCCATGCTGCTAAATTATCCAAAAATATAATTTGGAATAAATTAAAATCATATATGAAATTATTAGATTATATAAATTCGTCTTCCGAAATATGATAATTCGTTGTGTTGCGGAATAAAATATATACAACAAATTATTCGAAATCGTTTTTTCAGAAAGATGACGCCATCCTGTATTCTCCAAAAATATAATTTGGAATAAAATAAAATCATAGGAAAAATTATTCAAGTATATAAATTCGTTTTCTGAAATAGGATGATTCGTAGTTATATTTGATCGTATTCGTAAATAAGACGAATCAAACGGCGTCCTGTGGACAAAAAAGTCGCATTTCTTATGGGCTCGTAACAAAAACGATTCCAACGGCGTCCTCCTATGGACAAAAAAGCCACATTTATTTATTATCATCGGAGTAAAGTGATCCAAAAAATTTATGAAGTCATTTAAAATTTCACGAGAGGAATATCCTGTCCGGAGACATAAAAGATCCATGCTAGATATCACTAATCGCCGTATAGGTCGTTTATATATTTGGAGAATGATGTTCAACAAAGCTGTTGGAAAACAAGCGAATGTCTTATAATGTAGGATATTATGACTATTTATATATTTAAACAATGATGTTTAATATTTATAGGATTATAGTGGCCGACTAACCTGGCACAATATAAACAATAAAAAAAATTTAATTTTAATTATTATGTTGTAGCATTTTGTTCGGAATATAAGAAGGATTGACCTATTAAGGGTTGGCGTGTAGTATTTTTTTCATTTTTACATATTTTTTTATGTACTCGTATTTTGAAAAAATAATTTCTTTTAATGTTTAATTGATTTTAAAAGATTAAAAAGAAGAGAAAAAAAATATCATTGAAAATTAATTATATAAGGTACATCGCCATCAGTGGTGATACTCTTAAATTGAGAATAAAAATATTGAATCATTTTAAATATTTAAATTAAGTAAAATTTCCAAAATTATATATGAATTTACAATTCCATCTCTGGTGTCTTCAATGAATTCTACAAGAGTTTATTTTTTTTATAATTATGAAAATGTCAAATTTTGTTGCGGTATCTTTCTTATAAAATCATGTTATTTTTATGACTACATTCTTTTAAAACTATCTTTTAACATTGACACCAATCAATTTCGTTATAAAATTATAAGTTCAAAATTAATTGGCGACGTCAGTTATAATATACAAAAAAATTAGGTCTCAGTACTCTAGGAGGTAGACCTATTCAAAAACGTCGACAACGAAATTTATCATTTTTTTGGCTTCTATAAATATTAAATTATCTAATAAATTGGCTGTATTCCTATAACAGGATTATTAGAATGTTCCATCTCAATTTTTTCAACGTTTGTAAACTTCCCTAATAATTAAATTAAAACAATTGGGAATTTTATTAAATATTATAAGGCCTTAATTAATATTTTATTTCTTTTTGGTTATAAAATTAGTTTCACTATTATATTATAATATCGATTTTTATAAGATTACTGAAAAATATATAAATTGAAAATGGTGTACAAAGACAATATTTAGGAGATTCGAATATTAACTAAAGGATCCAGGCTTCCTCTACCTTATGTCTACCTAAAAAAAAATAGATAGACGATATTTCGTGACATTGACCTTACTTACCCCTCCTCAGGTTAGCTTACATCTAAAAAACATAAATAACCTCCGCAGAGGCAAATGGAAAGGTCCGATAAAATATATGCTTAAAAAAGCGTGACTATAAATATATATTATCGTGGTTTATTACGAGTACAGCTGATTATCATTCCATCGTTATTCAATTTCACTTTCTTTAAGAAAAATTCCGATAAATATTAATTTATGAAATAAAAAATTTTTTTATCGAGTTCAAATTAAAAAAAAATTTTTGAAAACCTATAGATGGTGACTTGGTTTATCTTTTTTTACCCTTCAACCCCGTCATTCTTGAAGGGTTATTACCTAGTCATCATATAAATAGATTATAATATGCAAAGAATTAATTATGAGATGATGTAAAGTGTAATAAATAATAAATAATAAATAATAGAAATATGAGACATTTTCCTAACGATAATTATGATGATAAGAGTTTTATATTTTTATATTTTATTCTTCCCATATTTTTTTTAAGTTACTCAATTTTTTTTCGTTTTTTTTTCAATTTAAAATTTATTGTTATTTAAATTTTATCTACATTTGTTTTATTTCTTTTAAAAAAAATAATTTAGATTAGAATTTTACGCAAACATATCTTTCCCAGTAGATTAGCCAAAATAATTTGATCAAAAAATAATGCAGACCCTTTAACCAGAATCCTGAGAATAATAATACAATCAATCAATTTTTTTTTCAAATGGATTTAGCCTTAACCCAAATTTTATTATGAATTTTTTAACAATTATATCAAATTCAAAACATAAGGTTTATTAAAATTTTATTGTTTCATTAATTCAAAGATTTTGAGATTCTTATTAAATAAATAATCATTTAATCCCCGACGGGTATAAGAGATAAACAAGAGTCTTTTTATGATTCATAGGTAGTTGAGTCATAATTGATTATATTCATCCTGTCCAATCTTAATATCTTCTCTTGATCCCTACTTCTTTCTCCGTTACTTCCTTTCACACCTGTTTTCCCCTTATACCCCTTTATTCAAGAGTTTTAAAATTGCCGCGAGGAAGTATAGATGATAGATTTATTTTATGAATATTTATTGCAGATTTTATGCGTCATTAAAATTGATATAAGAAAATAAAAAGCAAAAAAAAAATTAAAATAATATTTGTTAATCGAGTCGTTTATAGGAAATTATTTTAAGTTTTGTGTACCGTTATGTTAAAATTAATATAATCATGTAAATATTTCTGAGTCGAAAATCAATAATAAAGAGAAATATACACTTTAAAAAAAAAGAAAAGGGGGAATTTAAAAAATTATACATATCAGTAACCTTTTTTTAAACTAAATTTCATAGATAAAAAAAACTATACTAAATGAAATTTCTATATTTTAAAAAAAAAGTGTGATAATAGTATTATATTAAAGATATTGAGATGATTCATTTCTAATTTGAATAAGTTAAGTTTCGGATTAAGCAACTAGTTTTTAAATTCGTTATGTTATTTCGTAACTTGAGCTAAAAATGGTTGGTTCCCAAAGCCCTAAACCCCCTACCAAGTCAATAACCCCATCCCCCCACTAATGACTTAATAAAATGAATTTCTATGTATGGTGACTAAGAGGATAACCCCCAAGTTGTTTCATTTCAATGAAGTAATTTGATAACCCTTCATGCTAGAGGGCCCTCAATTTAAAAATAGGTTGTGAATCATGGTGCTCAAATTTGACCCAAATACGAGTTTTTGTATTAATAAACCCTTTAAAATGATTTTGAACAAGTAGAACCAGTTCTAGTTATTAAAAATTATAAAATGGACTCCGGTTCCTGTTCCTATAAGAAAAGAATTCGTGGTTCTACCATAAGGGTTTTGGTTTCAAACTCTACTTTAATTCTTTATGACATCCATTTCACATATTTTTTTTATAAAAGCAAATTTTTAACCATTCCAAGCATGCATTTGTTTTCTTGGACTGCTCCACAACATCCCAAAAATCCAACTAGTATGATAAAACAACCAGAACCTATAAGAAGGTAGGCACCATATTTGAGTAAAGGGTCATTGCTTGTTAAATCAAGAAGGTCTAAATAAACTTGTTTCTCTTTAGCAACAACAATGTATATTCCCAGGGCCAGCATTCCTGCCCCTGCAATCTAGAATATTAAATATATAATTGAAATCATACTGCAACAAAACTTTTATTATTATTTATATAAACAATGTTTTTTGGATTTTATTTTAAGTTTTAAGATTATTTAATATTAATAGATAGCTTACATTAATTTCCTATAAAATCTTATAAAATACATGCTTGTTAGAGTTAGAGATCTACAAAAGTAGGCAGGGCCTAATATTTTTTAAGAAAATTTGGGCTGGGTCGGGTTGGGCCTTAGAAATTTTTTAAAATATATCTAAATTTATCAATTTTATGTTAAATTTTTATATAAAATAAAAATATGTCATTTTATTTATAGAAAGTAGACATCAAATAACATATATCGTTTATTTTGAGTAATTATAAAAATTAAAATCTAAATTTTTTATGTAAAATAAAAATATGTGATCTTATTTATACAAAGTAGACACCAAATAACATATATTTTATTTTAAGTAATTATAAAAATTAATTTCTATATTTAATAAATTCAGGTCAGGTTGGGCAAAATTTTATAAAAAAAATTTTGGGCCGGGCCAGGTTTGAAAAATTAGGCCTGATGCAGAGCACTAGCTAGAGTTGCACAATGAAAGTGTGGCAACTGTGTTAAGCAAGCTGTAAAAAAACTATATTTTTTTTAGTATTTTAAAATACTCATACTTTTCACTTTTTTAGCTTTAATTTTTCATCCTAATCTAAATAAATTGATAATATAGGAAAATATTAATATAATTTTCAACAGCCACTTTATAATTATAAATTAATTAGAATGCAGATGATGAGGAAGTTGCTGCTAATCTAGAAGAATTATATGAAAAAGAAGAAAACATTACATATATAAATCAATGATAAAGTTGATATTTTTTAAGAAAAAATGAAAATCATAAAGTATAATGGAAAGCAATAGAGCTAGGCTAGATTTCCTCGAATCCATCAAACTGTACATTTAATATAGAGGAAAAAAGAGGAGACCTTCACCCATTTGTGGACAAGTTATTACTATGAGTATATATAATATTTCAAGACTATTATTTTATGTTAAATTAGTAAATTATATTGGTTGAATTATTGAACAAATAATTTTATAGCATGTTGATGTTAGTAGTAAGAATAAATTGAATGTAGAAGGTATCTTTGATGTTGTGAAAATGACATGTTTAATGTGAAGAATCATGAAATTTATTTGAGACTTGATTTAATCTTGAATAACTTCTTCATCAATCTTTTGTTATTGATCAGTCTTATAAATTGCTTCTTATTCATATTTGAACCTAATAAATTTTTCATTGCTCCATGCACCAAAGCATTTTGTACAATTATTATATACATCTTCCTATTGAAGGAATAGAACCATTTTAGATAATTGGCTACTAAATTTGGATTGGAATTCCTAATGATACAGACAAGAATTTATTATTTTCCTTTTCAACATAACATACACTGAAGTATGTCTGGAGACCTCCAGAGCTTGTTCATTCGATATACATTTGTGTTGAAAACTTCATTTATGATCCTTAAACATTTATTAATGAGTGCCTGCATTTTCCTGTTTCCCAAGTCATCAATCTCTCTTGCCCCTCCCCTATGTCAAAATGTGGAATTACATATTCTTAGCCTTGTGTGTAAAGTTATCTCTCTCATTTTCCACAATTTAAGGTATTTATATAAAGTTGTCCTTGCATTTTGGATTCTAATAAACATCGTCTTACCATTTTTTGCTATCAAGCATAAACCTCATTCATATATTAAATATTTAATTTTTTACTTTTAACAATATTTTGTTAACAACTTAAAATGTGGCTTCTTGTATGTGAGAAATTTTAATAAAAGTATTTTATACCTTAAAAAAATACAAAAGTATATTTCCTGACACTGCTAACATTTATGATATCTATAATTAATTAATTTTATAAAAATTTTAAATTAATTTTTGCACCAAAAACATTTTGTGAAAAGCAATTATTCAATTTTAAATATATTTTTTAAAACTAAAAATTATATTTCATATTAAAATATAAATTAGAACTTACCCAAAATACCACGTTAAATATTATTAATAATATTTTAGAGCATTTAGGACCAAATCCTCTTGCCATTTTAATTTGAGTATGGATTTTTTTAAATATTTTTGAAAGAAATATGGTAAAATAATATGAACGAATGACTTTTTTTATAAATATTTTAAATGAGATTTCAATTATTATTATAATAATGATGGATATATCTACTTCGAGCTGTTAAAATAAACCATCATCGACAGATTTAACAAGTAAAAAGTTTTTAATATTTATTTTTTATAATATGTGCAATATTTTAAAAAAATTTTTATTTGTATTGAATGTCTATAAAATATTTAGATTTATTTTATTTTAGGAATATTTAAAATTATCCTCAAGTTAAGATTTTAAATTGATATTGGTAATTTTTGTGATTTTAAATTTTGTCTTATGAATATTTATAATTATTTAGGCAAGGTTCATTATTTACTAATTTAAATAATTATTTTGAGTTATATCATAAAAAATTTTTTTTAAAAAAAGAGGTTGTAAATTGTCATCTTTCTCCAATGACGGCCATGAATTGTTAAATAATTTTAAATTGTTACCTAAAATTTTAAATCTGATTTTTTGTTTGAACAAAAGGTCACTCAAGATTGTTGTTTTATGGTTCTTTTGGCCAAAGCCAATTATAATTAAGGATTTCACCTCTTTTTCAAATGAGCAGTTTATTGATACTACAATCGGCATAAATATATCGTTGTCGACCAAGCAGTGGCGTAGCTACGGGGGTGGTTTTCGGGTTTGGACCCCTCCCAGAGCAAAAATTATTTTTAGATTATACGTTCAAAAAGACTTAAAAGTGACTTTATATCAAATAAATACCATTAATATTTATATTTTTCTGGTTTTGATGTTTGTAAAAGGATATTATTTTACTATTGAAAATATTCTGTATAGTATTATTATAAAGTCAATGATAATAATCTACTAAATTATAATAACATATTATTGATGCATTTAAAAAATATATGTAATATATATTATCGAAGATATGGTTATAAAATAAACCCGGCCGAGGGCCGGGCAAAAGGGCCGAAGGCCCGTTAAAGGGGTCTGGGGGCTTCGCCCCCAGGCTTTTATATGTATGGACCCCCTCTAAGGAAAATTCCTAGCTACGCCACTGCGACCAAGTGTGTATATTTTTTTGCCATATCTAATGGTTATAATTAGTGTTGTTAAATGGCTCGTTTTGAGCCAATTTTTAAAAACTGTTAACTCAATATTTCATCCAGAATAATATTACGCAAGCCTGAAGATATCTATTGGCAAAATCTCATGGCTTAGGTAATATTTTTCTGCCTAAAATATTGAGTTAGCCGTTTTTAAAAATCGGCTCAAAAAGAGTCGTTTAACAACACTAGTTATTATTATTATTTAATGGGGCGAAAATGTCTATAAAGGTAAAGTCCCAATACATGTGTTCCCTATTTTCTAGGGAATTAACCTATGTCTATCAGGCCGCGAATTATTAATAATGGATATCTCGTGATTCGAGATGTGAAGTAACATCGGCTTTGATAATAAATCTTGAATTATTTTATTAATTCTTCGTTCCTTTCATATTTGTATCTGTTCACGAGATAATGGAGTGGATTTCTAGTTATAGAATCAATCATTACCCCACTTCTTTTACAGATGTAAGGTGGCATATCTAAATTCCTTATATATAAAATATTTATCATGCTAAGATTCATGGAACTGATTTTACCGATGAACGAAGTTTAGTACACTGCTGTGTCATTACAGAAAGTTGATAATCGATAGAACGTGACATGATTACAGCATCTCAATCTTTATGTAGATTAGAGAGTGGCTAAATTTTCCGCCAAAGTATGTGTTAGTAAACCAGCTTAACAAAACATTGTTTAACATGGTGTCATCAAAAGTAATATATAGTTAAAAACAGGGATGCGAACCCGACAAAATTTTTGCCAAGGTTCGGTTCGGGTTCGGTTCGGGGTATAAAAAAAAAGGTGGGTTCGGTTCGGGTTCGGTTCAGGGAAATATTTTTGAACCCGGGTTTGGTTCGGGTTCGGTTCGGGTTCAAGAATTTTTGAGTTGATAAAAAAAATTCTATATTTAAATCATAATAAAAAACTAGACATAAATTTGATATAAAAAATAAATTTTTTATTTTATTTATAGGCAAATATAGTTAAAAATACAAAGCTATAGTCATGTATCAATTTTAAAAATTTTATTTAGACGTATTAGCATAATATCTTCCAAGAGTTGTTCACTCATCCTCGATCTATGTGGTGAAAGAATGAATTTCAAATGTGAAAAAGATCTTTCAACGCTAACCTATGTTAAATGTATTTATATGTGAAAATATGAAAAATTAACTTGGGTTGCAGGAACAGCAAATAAGATTTTAGATAAAATATATAATTTTCAGGGTGTTCCAGCTTAGCAGACTCCCAAAAATGCAAAATATTTTCCTTCTTATCTAATCTTTTATAATCGCTAAATCCAGTAATTATTGTTCCAATATTTTTCTCAGCAATCGTTGGCCCTCTTTTAAATATTTTCTCCTGCCTTTCTTTAAGTTGTATCAATTTCTCTAAATCATCTTCTTGTTCAATAACTTCATCGGAACTAATATCATCAGATAAAATCGGCGTTGTTAAGCTTTTAATTCGTCTCCATAAATTGACAAGATGTTTTTTCGCACAAATCTTATCATCATCACTAAGTAATACCTGTAATATTTAAGGATTTATATTGTTTATATTTAAATATTTCATAAAATAACAATTTTAATATAAATCTAAAATAATTAATTTACTAAGCTTTTAATTAACCTTGTATCTTGGGTCCAGGTATATGGCAGCTAAGAGAATTTCGTTCTTTATAAACCTTTCTTCTCTGTTCTTAAGACAAGAATATAGTAATTGAGCAAAATGGTTTGGATTTTTTTCCAGTTCGATGCAGCATCTTAACCATGCTGCATAAAAATCTGTCAGTGTGTTAACTGTTCAGATTGGAATTGTTTGGTTGCGATTTTTAGCGGTTTTAAAATTTCAACAATCGTTATTATCTCTTTCCAATCTTCAGTCAATAAATAATCAGATTGCTCTGTAAAAAAATCTTCCATATTGGGTTTTAGTAAAATCAGCCTTTCTAACATATCATGGGTTGAATGCCATCTGTGGCAATCTAACACAGGCTTAGGGAGTTTCATATTTTTTAATAACTTTTGGTAAGTGGGATGTCTTAATTTTAAATTTAGGCTCCTAGCTTTTGCAATGGTTTCCACAATAGGTGATAATTTTATAGCATCTTGAAGTGCCAGCTGAAGTGTGTGCACACCGTACACTATAAATCGGATAGGATATAATAGTTGATAAAAAAGTATTTTGTATATCATCAATATCATATTTATATACATTTACATCCATATTTTCCTCATCTGCTGATTCACTCCTTATATCATAATCAGTTTCAGGTTGCAGGAGCTTTATAGCTCTTAAAAAATTACAACCATTATCAGAAGTAATTGTGTATATTTGTTGAATATTAATTTTAAATTTTAGTAAAGTTTTTTAATATATTCTCTTTTATATATTCTCCTGTACATCTCTCCTTCAGCTCTACAATTCCAAGAGTCCTCAAATTTATAATGGACTTTGATATAAATTGAATATTTACACCAAGAATTGACCTATCTAGTCGTTGAACTGCATCAACTTTTAAACTTATTAATTTTCCTTCTACCTCTCTCGATATTTTGTCTCTAATTGATTGGGCTGTTTTATTAATAGTTCTGGATAAATTTTCTTTGTTTATAACTAAATTGAGCCCAGATAGGAGTGGATTTATAATTCTTTGAAATCCCGAATCTTCAATAATTGATAAAGGCCGGCCATTTACAGTAACAAGTTCTAGTATAGAACTCATCAAATCATTAGATGATATATTTATACTTATATGCTTTTTTGGAAAAAAGGTTTCTATATTAATTTTAGGTTTTTTTGCCATTAACAATTCCTGATATTTGGTTTTTTCATTTAAATAATTTAAATATTCATTGTTGTGATTTCTTTCCAGGTGTCTTTCTAAATTTGACAAGTGATTACCAGACATTTTTACTTTGCAATATGAACATATTGATTTTTTTTTTCTATTGTATTAAGGGTAAAATGCTTATCAAATATGACTTTATCTTTAATCTTAAATCTATAAAAAGAGAACAATTTTTTTAAATAGCAATGATTTCAGAATTAAAAAAGAGATATTTATAAATTTAATTTCATTTATAATATGCACTTCATTAATATCTTGTAAAAATTAAACTGAACCAAAAATAAATGATTAGCATATATAAATTTTAAAATCATTTTAATAAGTTCACAAAAACTGCCCTACATTTAACAATTTTTAAGTTAGATGTTTAGAATTTTTTAAATTAACAATATAATAATTTTTACTTTGATTTGTTAACCATTTTCTTCTAATTAATAATCTTTAAGAATAATAAGATAAAAATTTAAAAATAAATGGCGTAAATTAATTCAATTGTTTAAAATTTTTTAACACTCCAATAGGAATCGAGAATAAATTTAAAAATGGCATAAATGAATTAAGTTGTTTAAAATTTATTAAGACTTCATTTAATTGGAAATTTGAAAATATAATATTTGTATTTACATATATTAATATATGATTTTAAATAATCTGAACCCGATTGGAACCCGGGTTCAAATAAAATTCTTGGGTTCGGTTCGGGGTTTTGGAAATTTTATAAATGGGGTTCAGGTTCGGTTCGGGTTCAGAGTTTTTTTCTAAAAACCCGGGTTCACTTCTCCGGGTTCGGGTTCGGTTCGAATCCCTGGTTAAAAAGCCCTATTTAGGTTGATTTTAATTTCCGCCCAATTAAGATTTTAGCCAAAATAATACTGTTTAAGCCTCATGATTTGGCAAGTAGAAACCCAAATCTTTCTATCATATATATGAACCAAACCACCAGGCTCACACAATTTATTTGAGTTATAATCTGATTCGGCCTTTTTTAAAAATCGACCTAAATTGGACATTTTAACAACACTATACTCAAAAGGTGTAATTAATTTAAGGATGAGATTTCTGATTT